GTGCTGAAGAGGGTTCACCATAATGCACAAATAATTGGGAAAATACATATCTTTTATTAAGCAAATATATTTTGTGGCTGTATTTTCAGTGCCAGACCTAATGTAAAATTACAATCATTGAGTCATTTACAAGGACCATTTGAGGAGGGCTTATTTTCTGGCATTTTGCAGATGCCTCCGTTTGTATTTAGCACTTTATTCTTTTAGTAAATCATATAAATTTATATATACTTTTTGGTCAGTAAAGAAAGACTTGTCTTAATAATTACATTTGTTCAACACAAAAAGACAAAAGCAAGAAAAGCTTCCCTTTTTAAAAAAAAAAAATAATGAAATTGAAAAGAAAAAAAACAATGGTGTAGCATATTAGCTTGAGATAGGAATGTCTAAAATTGCTTTGTAACACTTAATCGTGTATTCGGACACAATTCAGCTTTACTCTAACATTCAAATCAGTCTGGAAGTGCATTATTATATTTAGACTTATTTTCTTCGGTCTGAAGACATACTAGGTGATCATGAACTCATACATCATGAATTTTTATCCTTGTGCAGATAGCTAAAACAATGTCTGTAGACTATGGAAGTCTTACTTTAGCTTTAAAAGTTGAATAACATGGTATTTTGTTGTACATACATAGTTTTTCTCCCAAAACATATGTAAACATGTGAATGTTCTCCTTGGTTAAACAAGTAATAATTATGATAATTCCTCATTAGCAGTCCAACAAAAAAAAAAAAAAAACTTCCATGAATTTCTACAATTTAAAAATAAAAGTATGAAACTTTTCTTTCCTCTCACAATGGCATTACCACAGCTCCACCTTTTTCCCTCCTTTCCAGTAATTTAGGCCCTTTTCTGTAAAGTCTTGCCATTAACAGCAATAGAAATGGAAATAAGATTCCAGATGCCTGTTGGCATTATCACAAATCCTGTAACACCCTAATAAAGTTACCCTGAATCAGAAGAAGGCAAATGAGCTGTTAACTGCTAAAGCAGTTCACTCCATCTTTTCTCCCTTTCCTCTAAATTTACCAGTGGTATTTTAATGAGTGTTGTATATGCCTGCTTGTTGCTTTATTACCTAAGGCAAACAGTAATTGGTAAAAGCTTGTTCTCCTGTGGCTAAGGGTACACTAGTTTACAGCTGATTCTTTTACAGAAAATCCATTGAAGAAAGAAAGGAAATCAGGTTATGGCTATTCAGAAATTAAAGATGTAAATTATCATTTAGTGATTTCATATTGTTCCCTGAAGTGTCAGTCTCTTCAGTCTGCAGTAACTGTTTTCTTAGACATTGTTCCCAGAATACTTAGGTATAGACCTAACTTCACTTCCAAAAATTGATGCCAAAAATAGGCATTTATAACTTTATTAATATGGGTAACATTCCCTTTTAAACTGGGATTTTAAGGTATTTGGGAATGATCTTAATACTTCTCACAGTTATTGAGAAAGGAATAAGGATTTGGAGACAATGAATGAGGCAGCTATGGAGATCTGTGGCAGTAACATTTTTATGAAGAATAAGTATCCGAAGAATAGAACGTAGAAAATTTTAAATAGCTCCATGTTTGATAATCTGAATTTTCACATACTTGCTCCAAAAATGTCCTGATTTCCTTTCAATTAGGAAAATAATTAAGCACACATATATTTCCAAACAAAACAATGACATAATGCATAGGACAGATCATATTTATGAAATTAGACATCAACTCAAAATGAAAACATCTAAGTGTCCTCAGCAACTGATACTACAGGCAGCACATTGCAAACTGATCATCCACCAGCCACTAATAAGTAAAGAGATTAATGTACTTGATACATTCAGATGTTCTACGTGTGAAAGCCAGCTAAAGTTTCCCAGTGAACGCCACGTTGGGAACCCTCAGCAACGCGCTACAAAGTACCATGCTACTGAGAACATTTGTTTTTCCAAAAATGACTCCACCTTAATTCATTTGTAAATGTTTCCCAACCATACTTAATAAGCCAAGATGTATTTATAGCAAATAACCCTCTTTCCAGTGAGATCCATACAAGACTAGGTTTAACAATCTGCATCCATCATGCCATACATTTAGGAAACCAGAGGAACAGTGTTTGGAGCAATGCCATTGCCTCTAACCCAGAGCAGTTTTTACTTCTACTGTTTTGGTAGTTTGCTGCCTGCATGTGCAAAGAGCACAGAAAGAGAATCACACCTGTATTTTTAAGGGACAAATGAGTCAGGAAACTCAAACAGCAGTGTTCCATAGACAGTTACAATAAGCATGTATTTTTTTTTTTTTTGGAAGGACTATAAAGATAAAACTTGAGGAAGACATAAAGGGAAGTAGATACAGCTATAAATGCAGTATAACTTTGTGATAAGGGTTACAGGCTCTACCCTTGAAACATTTAATTATACTTAATATCTTTGGAAGAATTGTAAGTTTAGCATCAAGTACAAAGAAGCTTTAACAGCAGCATACATAAACACAAGTCACACTATAAAGGAAATTGTTTGCTTGAAAAGCATTTCTGCTTTCTGGGAAGCCAAAGAAAGATACATAATTCTAAAACTTTGAAAGGGAAAAAAATAGCAGGGCAAGCAGAAATCAAGGAAGGAATAATAAAAAAAAATTAAATCTAGTAGGAACTAGGCATTTTGGAACTCATGAACTCTTTAAAATCTGCAATAACAAACCTTCCAGCTAGAAGATTTGTCAGACAGCAAACTGAATCACAAAGTAAACCAAATTCATCTCTGATAAAATTTCACTGAGTGTGCTGGCAATGTATTTCCCCTTTTCTCCTCTGCACTTTGATCATACTGTAACACTTCATGGATAGTTATATGGATGGATATTTATATACTCCCTGTATGCTTCTTGTCTCCACAGTACAAATTAAAGTAATAGAAAGCCTGTATCAGATTCAGCAGCTTCCTACTCAAGGGATCACACTTTATTCACATACTGTAAGTTGGCATAAATTTAAAGCAGTTCCTCTGGATCTACATGGTTGCAGGATTGCAATTTTGCACTATACAAGTGGAAGTCAATTCATCACAGCTTTATCACAGAATATATCAGTATCAAAGACTTGAAGCAGGCATTAATGTGGCTTGATTGCAGATACTATCAACCTCCCTCAAGACATTTCAGGATCAAAATATGAAGTGTTAGCTCTCTGGATACAATTACGTTTTAAAGATATTTTAGAGGAGAGGAGAAAAGCAAATGCAGAGTTATTAAACAGGAGACTTGCGGGCTTTCTCCTCAAGGATAAAGAATATTGTTTTGTGAGCCTATCAATTCAAAAAGTTTTTCCACCCAGGGTGAAAGTAGCTAATGCAAACTAATTTTTTCTTTCAAAGTGTTGCCCTATCAGAAGCTGTTCTCTCTTTAAATCCTAAAAAGAGGTATATTAATATCAAACTGATCTATGCAAAATAGAAGAAGATGATGCCACTGCCATGTTTATAAAAAAGCCAACATCAGCAGGCATAAGACCTCCCCAAAATATTTATTTTAGAAGGACTGATTCTGCAAACAGTTATTCATATAAGAATTAGCAGAAGAACTACTGTATGAAGCTCTGCAAGAATTAATTCCCGAGAAAAGAATACCGTGTGTAAATAATTTAATACCTATCATAAAACGCAATTGCTAAATTAGATTGTGATCCAAAGCTGCTGCTATCAGTGGAAAGGGTTTATATTATTTTGTAATAAGTGGCTGAGCCATGCAAGCTGTTCCTGTTTCTGCGTATCAATATTTGAAAAACAGATACAGAGCTATCATTTCCCATTAACAATTATGCTTAGAAATGTAAGTTGGTGTATGCTCCATGAGCTATCAAATTAATTAACTTCCTGTTTAATTACTTGCAAAACCTGTGAGAATTTAGTCATATTACAAAGCAAAACAAAAAAGAGCAGCAGTAAATTAAGATTAGAAAACAGTTGAAACTTTCAAAGAATGCTGCTTTACTTGACAGAGTAAATATAATGGTATTTAACCAAAACAGCACAGTCTTTGTTCTATGTATTGTTATCATACAAAGATTCAACTAAATTCAACAAAGCGAAAGTTTTGGTGTTTTTTTTTTTTTCTTCTCTTTTCAAACTCTAAGATATCACTACAATGTAAACCTCTTTAACTGCTTTCAAACTGCTCAGGCTTACAAGGTATCATTTTAGAAAATAAAATTAGAACTGACAAGAGTCCAGTAACTCGCAACGTGTCTTTTCAAATACAAATTGACCCACAAGATATTACTGCTTATATATTTATAGATTCCTACTTAAACAGGAGGTAAAAAACAGAACAAACAAGCGTGCATGCAAGACAGATGAGAAGACAGTTCCAAAACTAATGCAATGTTTTCTTCACTGTAAAAACAACACAGAATTGTTACTCAGCAAGAATTCAAACTCAACCATTTTTTCAGCAACACCTTCTCCAACTGGAAAAGCATCGCCCTCACAGAGACATGACTGACTTGTACTTTGTGAACTACTGCCTATTTCAGACCTCCACAAACACAAAACTCTGCCTCAGCATTAAAGAAAAAAAGACTAACCAAACCTCTCCATAGGGAAAACAAATCTGACACAGCGGTTACCATTAATTACTATTCATATTTGTTCAATACTACTTCCAGTTTCCAAAGGAAGTGTGGCAAGCTGAACTAATAAAATGCTACTTCTCAGAGTTGCTAATATCCTATTTCCTGGGCAAACTAACTGCCCTTCAGTTATATACCAGGCAGTAATGTTTTTTGGAATATCGAAATTAACTATTCCAGCAGCTACAGATATGCAGTTTTTTTAATCAACATTTAAGAGACATTTCAAAAGACATTTTTATTATTTTTCTGTTAAATGAAGCTAAAGAAGAGGCATAAGAGGGAAGGGGACTGCATGACAGATGGTCACAAGAAAGCAGGTGACCCCTGAAGCTTCCTAGCTTGCTGCGAGTCAATTATTAATAGGGATTTCTCTTCTTACCGCCCCATCCCATGCATAGGGGAGCAGCAGCAAAACTCATTCAAAATGCATCCATCCCTGCTAAGTGACTTGGGGAAGAGTAAATCAGCAGTGATGAGCAGATGGTGCAAGCAGCTCACGTGCAGGAGAGGAGAGAAGCGAGCCCGCGGAGATGGGGTGTCCAAGAGGCAAACCGCAAAACTTACTAACTCGAGCTCTCCACTAAGATAAACCGTGGGAGCCGCAGCATCGCCCGTGCTCTGCATCCCCACTGCTTTGTTTATCGGAAAATATTCAAAATGGAAACCTGACTCCACTTCCAAAAATAGCTGAATTTACTCAGTTTCAACTTTTAGGTCCCACTGCTGGAGCGTGGCAATGGTGAGCAAATACCTCGTCTTATCTCCAAAAGGCAGCATGTCAAGCCAGGTAAAAAACCCGAGGCGAGCTCCTCTTGCCGTTACATGAGGTCTTTGCAAAAAGTCCAAACCAAAACACGAAAGCGGGGAGAGCGGGAGAGCAGCCACCCTCCCGCAGTGAGGAGAAGGTCCCGGCTGCGCGGGCAGCGCTGCCCCCT